AAAGTAATTTTATCACTTCCTTAAAGCTATACTCTGTGTTTTATTAATAAATGTTAAGGTTTTTTCAGAATAAAAAAAATTTAAAATTTAAAATAAGATTCTATGTAAGGCCATGTAACCACTTAAAAGGAAGAAAAACAATTATTGATGTAAGCTTGTTAAAATAGAGACTTAGTTATCCTCTAGAATACATTCCTAAAGGGTTTGTTATAGCATGGTGTCTAGAATTTATGAATCTTCACTTGCACTCTCATTTGAAAATAGAGAAATGCATATAAAAATAGAGAAATGCATATAAATGTTTATGGATTTTAGTGTTAGTAATTTTAACTTAAGTAAGGTTTTTTCTGCCTATACTTACGTTCTTGCCCCTACCTTTAAAATAGTGACAAACAAACAAAGACAAGAACGTAGAGAAGAGAAAAGGATAAAAAGAATGAGAAAAGAATATAAGAGAACTCAACTTTAAATTCTAAAGGCATGAGTAAGGATAAATATATATGACTCTTTCAACTTTACTTTGCATAAACAATCATAAGTGGGAGAAAAGATAGTTAATTCAAGGCAAATGCATATAATAGTGAGTGGGGGTTCTTTTCTAGCACATATAAGTGCTACTTATATATTACATAATTTTATAATCATTCCTAACTACTCCTCGCTTGTTTATGACAAATATTGCCTAGATTTGGTCTTTTTTTATTAGATGCCTAAGTTTAGATGTAATTCCATAGCCACATCTTAACATGTGACCATGGTAGATTGTGTTGACTCCAAACACACGAGAACCCTTTGAAGAGTGTAGAGTGTACCTCTACTGTTGATGCCAAGTGTTGGTAACTACATGAAATAGTAAAAACTCTGAAAAATAAATTGAAAAAAAAAGAAAAGGGGTAGGTGTGAAGTTTGAAGACAGGGATGAAATCTAGTGGGAAACCTTCTAGCCAAACTAGACTTTGATGTAAAAGAAAAAATGAAGAAAAGTGTGAAAAGAGATGAAAAATAGAAGAAAAAAAATGAGTACCCAAAGAATTTAATTTGTACTTGGATTTTTGCTCAGGAAAGTATAATATGCAAATGTAGCCTTGTGATAACTTTAGGTATGCTTCAAGAATTGGCCAAAATCGAGAAAGAAAGAGAGGTAGAAAAGGGATGCATTGCCCAAGGTGGTAAGTGTAAAAATGATGAAAGATAGAGTGATATGGTGGAGTGCCAAGATAGTGGTGGCACTCTAAGAAGATGGCCATCTCTAAAAGTGTTAGGCCTATGTTGAAATGGACAACATAGTCACTAGCTCATTAATAAAGAGAGTTGCATATGTCCACTGAGTGTTGGAGCAGGAGAAGGTGGCTTTGGCTTCTGTAGCCTCACCTAAAGATCCACCTAAATGCCTTGAGTGAATAGGTTCACTTGGTTGGAAGAAAGTTGCTCCAAAGCTAGCATGTCATTAGCAAATGGCCGTAATGATATATCAAAAACAGCACGTCCAAATGAAGTGATGTCTTTTGCTACTGGTGTTTGTATGTGTGTCCATAGTATGGTGTAAATATAACCTCAAACAGAGATATGGATGATGGTGAAAGAATGAAAAATGCAAGATAGGCATCTAAAAGTAAATATGCACAATGTTACTGAGAGTGATTGGTGATGGATCTGTGAATGTAGATGATATGGAATATATATGGGGAATGTGTGGAGTAGAGTAATGGTAAGGGAAGGGCCAAAGAACCTGGAATATAGCCTAGGCCAAGTGAAGAACATCCATACAAATAGCAATGCAGCTTGAGCACAAAATCCAAGGCAAGAGCCATGGTCCAATGGAGAAACACCCTCTGAAATAAGAAAAGAAATTGTGAAAGTAAAGTGAAAGAAAGGAAGTAAATGAAAAAGAAGAGAAAAGGAATGCCTCACCGGATGAAGCGTTTGAGGAGAGTGGTTGTGAGCATGTGAGAATTCATATCCATTAGCATTTACTAGCACATATACTCCACCTCTAATATATCATTGGACAAAGTAGGGGCTAGTCCAGTGAGGAGATAATTTCAAAGTTGGCGAAGGAGAGAATGCTGTTGTTGAACTTGGGGCCTTCATCCCTTGCTCTCTCTACTTTTGATGCTTTGAGCATGTGATCTCCAATACAAGGACTAAAGCCAAGTATTCTACTAGTGAGGGAAGATCCTCCATTGAAGTTGAGTCCAAGTCTGGGCTGAATCTTCAATGCAATATGCTTGGATCTATACTAGGGGCTCCACAGTAGAAAACTCTGAATTTAAAGAACTATAATTTGCATACAACATATCTGATTAGCTTGATTTTTGCTGCCAGCTGTTTGCCTGGATGTTACCCTTTGTCTCCAAAAAATGGCATGACAAAATATGCCCAAAGTCGTCAGCTAAAGTGATTTTCGTGGGAAAATGCTGGCTGTATGACACCTTAGATAGTTGTTGAAGAAAACTGAATTCAATTGTATAGAAGTTCATCCTCAATTAAGAAACACTCCAAAAAGTTGGATATGGAAGTTGGCACAATGTAAGCCTTGCCATCAAATAAAGAGGGCATGGCTAGAGGCTTGGCCTTACTCTCAGATAAAGAGAGTGAGGCTAAGAGATGTCCAGAGCTGTCTAATTCACCTCTAACAATGTTGATCACATTGTATGAGAAAGCATCCATTGCATAAATGGTCGACCCCACTACCAACTAAGGGAAAATCCCTATGAGCTCAGGAGGAAAGTGTGGTGTGGAGACAATCTTAGTTTGAGCCTTTTAGACATGCTAAAAAAGAGCTCAACCATGGGTGTTGAGAAAGGTGGCACTATAGATTCTATCATTGATTTCCATCTTGCCTTTTGCACTGTCAATAGTGCAATGGGCTGTGACTTGCCACGAGTGGCTGAGGATGATAGAATCCTTCAAAGAGGACTTTACAAAATACTAGTAGTCAACCACAAGAAAATCTACCTCAGAAATAACACCTTGCATTGAGACCTTGACACTATAGCAAATGCCCGTTGGAGGAACAATGTGATTGGTGAAGGTCTTGAGCACGATGGAGGAGCTTTCAATGATCTATAGCTGTGTTGAAAGGGCAGCTTCAAAAGAGATAATGTTGCTTCCAGAACCAGAGTAAACCAAAGCATCCATCTTGGAAGAGAAAGTACAAATCTGCACCAAGACAAAGAATGAACCAAGATCTCCAC